ATATATATATAGTCTCCGGATTTTGTGATATATTGCTTTTGTGTCATCTGGTAATAAGGAATATTATTATGTCAGCAAATGGCTGTCTATCCGAAGCGTGTCAAGCAAGACTGAGGTTTCCGATTAAGAATAATTTATCCTTACGCCTATCCGTTGCAAGATTTATCTCAAACGAAATGATTGGCTGTCGCCAATCATAAAATGGCCGGCCACTTGTTTGACGAATTACCGTTTCTCTCGGGCAGCGGGACGTGCCATTATCCAGTAGTAGTAATAACAAGAGTAATAATACTAATGTTAACGATCGAACAACAATTAGAGTCGTTTGCTAGCGTTTACTAACTCTTAACTGCTGTCAGACGACCGACCACTCCACGTGTCTCTGCGGGGCTAGGTTTAAATAATCTTTAAACCGTAGATATACACATATACACATGCAATACGAAAGTTCCTCGTTAGCGAGATTAGATGCCTTCGAGTCAATTAACAATTAATCACCGCGTTCCGAGTTTGACTGAAACTTTTTTGCTTGGAGAGAAAAAAAAAATTACGCGACAAAATGAGGAGTTTGCCGATTTCGTGGTATTCGTACACAAGAACGAACGAAACAAAATTGAGCAAATGAACTAATGAAGGCAGCTAATTTCCCTATAAGGACTCTACGTCTGTGAAACATAGTGCCTTTACATAGCCGTTCACTGTTACATTAAATTAATATTTAGAGCGACAGACAACTTAGCGAATATATATCACGCGATTATCGATAAAAACTAACTGTTGTTGATAGGTAAGCGCTTTATCGGCATCGGTACGGTATTACTGCCTCCTTAACAAGAAAGCCCTCTGCTCGTACGTATCTTTTTTTCCTTTTGAATTTATTGATTCTCTCTGTTCTTCTTCCTTATTTTTCAGATTAATGATATATATACCGGATGGGAGCTTTGATAAAAAAAAAAAAAAAAAAAGAGAAAAAACTTTGATATATTTAGACAAATTTCCGCGATTCCTGCCGTGTTCTACGTTCTAGAGATACGCTTTATACGTCCGTTAGGATGTAATAAATAAAGAAATAGTGCCTTATACCACGAGACATTGTGCTTTTCGAAAGTTCAAATAGTAGGAGAGAAAAGGGAGCGTTCTAAAACAGGCAATTTTTAGATATTCTCCTTTCAGTCGTATCTTAAATTGTAATCTCGCAAAATTGATAAGATGTCATTCTTCGTTGTCGAAGAGAACTTACGTATATTCTTGACACATTAAGAATCGATCGTTTCACCGGAAATCATTGCGAGCTCGTCGACGAATTTAGAAATATGAAATTTAGAAATAATCTAAAAACAACATCTTTCTAGTCCGATTACGAAAGAATTCTGCAAAAAATTATCGATACTTTTCACGATAACGATATTTCGAAAATGCGAGTTATATATACCTAAAAGAATTTTTTATTTCTTAATTACATAAGTTTGTTTATATGTATCACATATTGCGTTCGCCGGCAAATTCGAAATTCGTCGATGTGAAAACGACGTTGTACCTTTGCTTGACAATTACTTGTATGATTTCCAACTTAAAATCGAGTCGCGACGAGCGAAGGTTTTTAAGATAGAGGGGTTTTAAGAAGGTTTTAAGACCGTTTATTTAAAATATTTATAGGTAAAAGAGCCTTCGTTAGTGGCTACCCCAATTCCTCATTTTGAATCACGCGCAATAAGATATACGCTAAACAAAATATATATTAGATATGCATATTATATATATATATATATAATTGATGCACGGAAAGAGAGCACACGAGACGAATCGAAATGAAGTAAAGCAACGCGCTGCTGTATATATTGTACATAAAGTATGTACGCATGTGCGCGCACATATGCATACGTTATACATACTATGTATATATTATATATTATGTCGTCGACGAGACGACGATAATAATGATAATAACGAATGGTAGTAATAATATTATAATAATAAAGAAAGCAGATATCGAATAAGTGCGAATAGCGTAACGAAATAACGATATTATTAGGTACCACACACCCCGAGAACTCACAATAGACAGCATGTCCCTAAAAGACGACTTAAAGACTTCTTATCATCCTTTGGATGAAAGAGTGCACACGAGACGAATCGAAATGAAGTAAAGCAACGCGCTGCTGTATATATTGTACATAAAGTATGTACGCATGTGCGCGCACATATGCATACGTTATACATACTATGTATATATTATATATTATGTCGTCGACGAGACGACGATAATAATGATAATAACGAATGGTAGTAATAATATTATAATAATAAAGAAAGCAGATATCGAATAAGTGCGAATAGCGTAACGAAATAACGATATTATTAGGTACCACACACCCCGAGAACTCACAATAGACAGCATGTCCCTAAAAGACGACTTAAAGACTTCTTATCATCCTTTGGATATCTTTAAGATGTCTTTTGGCCTTCTTGTGCTGTCTGGATATATATTATTTTCAATATCATTGTATTCAATTCCGAAATCAAATAACACACGCTTACTAAGCGACGATCGTGTGTCGACGATCAAGAAAGAAATCCTCTCCACTCATTTTTACGAGAAAGAAAACAAATATATGAAATTGCAAATTTGTACCTGACGCGTTATTAATGATCAAACATCAATCATATCACAAGTCCTACTTTAAATCTTCATATATACATATATATATATATACATATATATATGATTTGCTATTTTATATATGCACACATACACATGAGTGCTATATTTTATATTATTTATTATGCTCAATAGTATTATTCTACGTTTTTCTTAGTAAACAACACGCAAAACTTTCATGAAGAGCATTTAACATAATTCTTGGAAAATGGAAGAAGATCCCGATAAATATATACTATTTGAGAAAAAGTTAATTATAATAGATATATAAATATGATAATAATAGATTTCCAATTTATATATATATGATACGTAATGTTTGTAATGTCACCGGAGAATGATCGCGGTTTAATACATACTTTATAACAAATAGATTATAGATATCGGGTGATTAAATCCTGAAACTCTTGTAGAGCTTGACATAAGAAACGACACTTAATCCTCTTAGAAACTGCCAGATAAATATTTTCCGTTCACTGCGATGATTAATACGTAAACTTGTAAAATGCATCAGTCTGCTCTTCCTCTTTCCC